AGCATCCCCTCGGGCTGTATAACGGACCAACTCCTGTGTCTCCCGCCACCACCGGGCGAGGAGCTGGGAGCGGCCTCTCGGGATGGGAGGCCGGCAGTCTCCGTTAGAACCGGGCTTACTGTACCAGGCAAAGTTAAGGGGTGACCTCGGGGTATCCGAAGAGGATGAGGAGCTCGAGGGTTTCAGGCGGGAGGCGGCAGTGCTGCGTGACAAGCTGTGGGAGGCTCTCAGGTAGGATGGTACCTGGTAAGGATGGCAAAATGGCATGTGGGGTTCCTGCTGCTTCTTACCAGTGACAAGGCGTAGCATGAAGTCCCAAGGTGCATGTGCATAGTAGCAACACACCGGCCACAAACGTATTCACAGATGGGAGAGTGGGGCCAACAGGTGCCCACGTAAGCAGCATTCACATAAAACATGAACAGCACAAATCCCGTTCCTGCTTCTCAGCTAATCACGCTTAAATTTGCTAGCAGATCACATGCGTTTCTATCCAGCGTCCAGTCTTCAGAGCTGTGATGTCTCCAACGTCTGGCTCTCAGACCTCTTGTCTTTCTCAGTGGTTAGTCCAGCTTGAAGTTCACCAGCAGATCACACACACATGCTCTTACGAAGGAAAACACTTTATGAAGAACAGACCGCAGCAATCACCAGGCAAGCGTATTGACCACAAGCCTGTTTACACATGATCGGCACTTTCTGTTTCTCCCCTTCTTCCCATTTTCTTGTTCTTGGTCCACCCTGATCCACCTTGATCTTTCCCTTTACCTGCATTTATTCCTGCCTTAAATAAACTCAGTTTCACAATCACCCTCAAGCATCCTATGAGAAGTTTGCTATTTCAATGAGACCCATGATAGTCTTGGGTTTTTTTCTTATTATCAATTATATGGTCTTCTTATCAGCTACAAAGTTTCCAGGTGTTGCGCTCTTAGGTGTTGCACTAAAGCAGTTCCCTGCAATGGCCCTTCCATCAGCATCTTACGAATTCTGGTGTTTGGTACCGTTTGTTAGGATTTGTGCATCTGTGTGCTTAATTTATTGCCTCTCCTGAGTTTGTCTTTTATATTGAGTAGCTGTCAGCCAGATATCCCTAAAGTTGGAACTTTCTGGTTTACTTGTGGCCTTTCTGGTGATAGAGTACTAGCAGCATAATAAATTGCATTACAAAGCTAAGTAGGCATAACCGCCATTTTATACATGGAAAATGGAAAACAAGCAAAGCTCTGCTCATGAACTTTGGTAGCAAAGCAAAATGTAGAGCCTGAGAATGATGAGCCCTAGGCCTGTCTTTTAACGTGTGTCTTTCTCTTAATCAACAGTGTCTCTCTTCTTTTAATTCTGTTTTTTAATAATTTCCCTTATTTCCCCTTCATGATGTCTGTGTCTTAGTCATACATCTGGTAACAAAAGGCAGTCCAGTTCTTTGATCGACCTCGCCTCGGACAGTACCTGGGATGAGCAAAAGCCTCACTTGTTTCCTAAATCCCGCTTGAGACCAAAAAGCGCTTCATCTCCCTGGATTCCTTCCATCACCATCCCTCAGCCCTTCGAAATGACCCTGCGGGAAGCTCGCAAAAAGTCCCAGTTGATGAAATCATACATGTTTCTTGAACTAGACAAGCAGAGAGACAAAAGGCAAAGCCAGGACGAAGCTGAATGTCAGAAACAATTCCGGGCACAGCCTGTACCTGCCCATGTGTTTCTGCCCCTTTATCAGGAAATAATGGAGCAGAATGAGATTCGCAGGCAAATAGCAACACAGAAAAGAAAAGAGCTGCTACTTTCAACCCAGCGGCCCTTCAGTTTCCTGGAGAAGGAGGAGAAAAAGAAAGAAGCTATCAGACAAAAGTTCCTGGCAGCGGCAACCCCGAAGGAGAGCTCCAAACAGAAGCAAACCAGTAAAAAAGTACCTAAATCTACTTACAGTCCACTTCTTGGAGATAAACTCAAAGGTAAAATGCCAGGGCTCTTCCTGTTAAAACAACTCCCTGCCTGTCCCTCACTGTCTCCATGCTGGGAAGTAGAATCATGGCCCATAGGGCGTTACTTGGAGTATAAAGCCAATATCATTACATCCCCTGGTGTTGTCTAGTCTCCTGTGTATCACTGGTCATTACATTTCATCTAGATATCCTTACAGTAGAGTGTCCTAATTTAGTAGTCTCTTATCAGTGTCAGCAGCAGCAGTTCTGTACCACTCCCCAGCACACATGGGTACACTGAACTCTTCGGACAGATTTCCATACCTCTTTTGCCTCACAGTTTGTGAATCCTTCCCTGCACTGGATTCCATACCTTTGGTTATGCTAAAGGGACTTAGATGATTTGTGGCACAAATGTGAAGACAGATGTAGTGCCAGAAGTGTCCAAGTTCCATGCAGTGTCTTGGAACTGACAATTTTACTCCCACCCAAGTGATCTGTGCTCCAGGACCCCTAGGAGAAAAATATCTCCTGAGCCCAAATCAGGCAATTAGTTTGGTTCTAAATGATAGTGCAGTAGTCCAGTCTCTCCTGCCATTCTCTGATGTTTTCAGTTACCTTTCCACTTGCTTTCCACCTTCTTAAGTGCTAAAACAGGGGAGACAGGTGCCAGGACCATTCCAGGCAGAGGGACAGCCAAGAAAATTTTTTCTGATGCTCACTGTCTTTCAGATGGCTTAAGCCCCCGCAGTTGTAAGTTTGAAGTAAACAGTACAGACTTCACACTTGAATACAGGAACTAAACCAGTCCTTGATAATCCTCACTGCTTTTCTCACCCTTTTTTTTTTTTTAATGTTTCCCACTGATTTCTTCTTGAGTATACACCAGTTCAGTTTTTATCAGAAAACATTCTGTTATGGCGTACTAAACTAAACAGATAGAAAGGTAAAAGAGAGCAAAGGACAAACTGTTGTTCTATTTCTATCTGGTATATGAGAAGGGAGGAGGAGTGAACATTTCATACCTCAGTCAATGCAAACTTATAAATAGACTCAAAAAAAGCCTTATTTTGCAAACAGGAGTATTGATTTTTTTCCTAAAAGCAAAAAAAAAAAAAAAAAAAAAAAAAAACCCCCAAAAACCCACAGCCACCTGTTTATCTGCATTTTCTCAAATATTTTGTGCTGCACAGGAAAGGGCTCAGTTTCACACTATACTCTGAAACACATTCTTTCTATGGAAAGTTTGTCACAGAAGTCATGAGACATGATCCATCCACCAAATGCTCCTTACTTAAAATCTTTTCAATATAGACAAACACTGCTGGATATTACATAGAAAAGCCATCATCTGTTACAAGTATATTTGAACAGCCCATTTGGATCACACGGTCAACATAATAACATAAAGTCCCATATGAAAAGTAGAACCTTGATTAACACAACACGTGTGCAAGACAAAGGGCATGAGTCACCTAAGAACAGGAATAGGAGGAGAAGGCCTGTTCAGTAACTTTGATAACTGAAAGAGATATCTAGAGATTAATGCCTAAGAAAGCGACTCTACCATGGTTTTTTTGGTATCTTTGAATTTTTTGTCCTGGGAGGCAGAGGAGAGAGAGGCTGGAAAGTGGGGAAAGAGCACACAGGATGTCTGGTCTCTCCTATACATGTAGCTGCCATCATAAAGAAAAGTTTAGAGTTGTGTGGTGGCAATTTCATAGCCTTTTATGTCACTCATATTCTTCTCATTGCTTTGCTTTTGATTCATTAGAAGCTGAACTCTACAGAGAAATCCGCATTCAAATGAGAGCCAAGGATTTGCTTGAGAGCTCCGTAGCTCTTATAGATACTAGCAACTGTCGGAGGGAGCCTCAGTCCCGAACTGCCACTAAAACTAAGCAGGAGAGACTTGGCTTCTTGCAGGACAAAAGTTTCAGCTTCAAGCCAAGGATTAACCCAACAATACCAGATTTTGAAGGACTTTACTGGGCATTTCAGAGGGAAGCAGTAAGGAGACAAGAAATCAAAGAGGCAACTCGTAATAAGCCATTCAAGCTAAGAACCACCAATCTCCGTGCCAGGCAGAGGCAGGCTAATGAAAAGATAAAGGTGAGATGACTGGATATTTCTATGGTACTGCTTTCTCCGATCAAGACGGCAGCTTCTTAAACTTATAGCATTTATTTATGAATGGTTAATGTCCTGTGACCTCTGCCCTTGTCTTGGGAGTGCTGCAGAATTCTAGGACAAACCAGAAAACAAAATGCTACACAAAGAGATGAGCTATGACAGCTAAGGCTCAGCCACCCTTCCATACTCCTAATCATGACTCCTTTCCCTCAGCCCCTGCCCATGTTGATTCCTACTGATGGAAGAGAGAATGAATGCATTGCCCACATACCCCAGCTGTTCTCTTTGGTAGACAAAGAACAGAGGAGATTCTGTACTGTGAACAAATACATTGAATGAAGTTCCATTTTTTTCCAGGATTCTCAGCAACTTTCCAAGGTTTCAGTGCAAAAAAGTCATTCTCTGACCGGACTTTCCTCTCTCTCTTCGAACACCCTTCCAGTGCACATTACAGATGCAACTAGAAAAAGGGAATCTGCTATTAGGTAAGTAGAAAAGTTTGTCTACAAGACCATACACCAACTAATGACCAAAATGGAGCATAAAAAAATCAATGTTTTCCCTCATCACATCAGCTACATCAGGAACACTTTTCCTAAATGTTTCTGTGTCTCCTTTCCTTGCTAATTCTTGCCCTGCCTCCCAGTTGATTAGGGAACCACACACTCATATGTCTGAAATGTTGCTTTTCTCCTTAGAGGACTACAAAAATGAAATTCCCTGCTAGGAGGTAGTCTGGCAGTCTTAAGTGAGCTCATTAATACATTTTTTCTATATAGATACTCCCAAGATAACAGAAAGGAAGGGGACAAACAAGGAATTTATTGGCTGGAGAAACAGAAAAAGAAATGTCAAGCTATCCAAAAGTCAGTGAACAGCCGAGCAAAAGCCCTGGATCCGCATAAAAGTCTGGAGGAAACATACAAGGAGAAGTTGAAACAGAACTGGTCAGTATCCTATTCTGCACAGAAATAACCGTTTGCTCTAATAACTGGGGATCATCAGATAAATCTTTAGGAGGAACGGGGTCTAAGAACATCCCTAGACTAACTTTTTTGGCTGTCATACCCATTCCACATTCGTTTGGATTTCTTGACAGTTTCACACTACCCTTTCCATATAGAACAGTTTCCTTTAGATTAATATTTGTAGAAACTAATTTGTATGAACAAGCCCAACTGAAATATATAATTTGGTAAAGCACACATAAGACAAGGTCTTCTACAAATGTGAACACTGGTCCCCTGCCTACACTCTAGTAGTAAAGCTTTGCTAATGGGTCCATAACTTGCCAGTGATAGCAGCGTTCTGCCCAGCATTCAGAATCAAGGCAATTACCAGAGCTATTTAAAGGACAAAACAGTTATTGAGAATTCCTCATTCCTGATCAGCTGCAGTCAGAAGGAACCTGTATTAGACAGGGAATTTTTCCATTTCAGGCAAAATATGAGAGAGAGAACAAAGGAATACAGAAAGGAGCTGGAAGAAATGCAGCTGCGAGTCAAGAACAGACCATACCTCTTTGAACAGGTCACCAAGGTAACTGGTCAAAGTTCCAGAGTGTTTCTGGGTGACAGGATACATTGTCTTTCATTTAAGATAGGCATTAAGAAATCTTAAGTTAATTCATGGATAAGAAGGTGCAAATGGTTGCATTAAGGCCTTATCACACCAGAAATTACATGAATACCTATTCTGCACCTGAATACCATAGCCTACAGTCTAGAAATTGAAAACTTTTTTCCTTAAAACCCTCTCCAGTTGAGCACTTTTTCTTTGTAACTCTAGTGCTACTTGAAAAACATTAATGACAGTTATGTTGCTTATATCACCTGCAAGCTCTGCTATCTGAGGTTGTGTTCAGCACATCCATCACACAGTACCATCTGCAAGTCTGTGTTGCACTTGAGGTGTAAATACAATCTTTACTCTCTACAAAGTACTTTTTTCCCTTGGTTTTCTCTTTCAGTTCTGTCTCCTTGCAGGGATGATACCTGCTTAGAGACATAGTGCCAATAATTGACAACATGCTGATTTAACATTTCTCAATAGAAAGTACCCTCCTGTGTCAGACTTTCTGGTCAGATGAGTGGTTAACTGAGGCAGAGAACACATTTGTATGATGAATATTGGTAGCCAGTTGCCAGGTTGGTAAGAATTCACCAGTATCGATAGCATTCACTGATGTTGAGACAAGATTTCTATCCTTCCACATAGAACACTTTAATCTTTAGGAACTGGCCAGTCCTCTGGAAAACCATTATCTCAGACTACATTAATTTGCAAGGTTTATTTGGAGGCAGTGAGGATCCAGGATCCAGGATGCTTGGTTTTCAGTTTCTTGAAGATGAGCTGATACGAAGCTATTTCACAGGTGCTCTCCATTTATTGAACTCCCCTGTGGTTAGTGCTTACAAATTACAAGCTAACATGCTTCCAGAATTTCTCACAATCCTTTTTTGCACATAGTCTCAATTTGAGTGTCAGAGTCAGGACTCAGACACAAGTATGCTAGTCCGGTTAAGACTGGAATGCTGTAGAAGCAGGAGAACAGAAGAAGAAAGAAAAAAAAGAACAGAAGCAGGAAAAGGTGAGCTCTGGCTTTGAGAGATGTGAGACATTCTCCTAGTATTCAGTTTTGGTACTGTACTGTATGGATGAAAAAATTATGGACGGGGGATTTCCTGTCCTCTTGTTCTCATTAGCAGTGTCAGCCATGAACTTTAAAACAACTTGACCATTATGGGGAAGCCCCAGTCCTACGTGCTTACTGTTTAAGTTTCGATTTCGTAGCATGATGCTCGTCAAGGAGCTGAGCGTCGCTACAGACACACCCTCCAGCAGGTTGGGCTAAGCGAAGAATTTGTAAGGAAAAAAGGGAAAGACGCCACTGACTTGCTGGAAGAAGAATCTAATGTTCACAGGTAATAAAAACAATGCAATACAGCTCTTTTGCTTTTGAGTAGAAATATTTTCCTTGTTCATGAAAGCATTCCAGTTTGTATCATCCAGTGCAGGCAAAATTAAATCAACTTCACTCCTCTTACTAAGCAGCATGGCTTCTCTATCTTAACTCCTATGACTGCACTCTATTTCTTATGCATGGGGCAAAGCAGCAAGTAAGCACTGCAAACCATTTCCGGTATTAGACAATCACTATTTCTGCAGAGCACCCAAGCCTCCGGGTGGAAAGGACGACTGTACTGTACAGGAAGGAGAACCTCCAGAGGAACAGAGCAGAAAGGAAATGGCAACATGAGATCTCGCAGAAGAATCCATCGATCATCTCTTGATTTTTTTTAATTCAAGATTCTCCAGGTTAATCCTCAGGAACTTTCTGGTTTAGGCTGATACCTAAGAATTGCTCTGGGCTAAGTGAGATGTGAGAACTTAGTAAAGGAAAAAAGAGACCAACAGTTGTTCAGAGCATGTCTTGTCCAACCCAACAAACTCTGCAGCCTTCCTTAGTCTTCACAAGTGTTCCCTGTGTGAGCCATTTCTTTCTTTAACAGGCAACAAAACAAGTTAAAAAAAGTTGAAGCACTAGCTTTGGGTAAAAGTAGATATGAAAATTTGAAGAGGTATGTCCTCTACCCAGCTCCTTGCGTTCATGCCACAGAAGCACGCAGAAAGGGGAGAATGCCTTTCAGTGTGCTAAACCTTGGTTTACACATATATGTGGTAGAATACTTTTAAACAAGGTATTTCTAAAAAAACCCCACAAGTGCAGGATTTGACCTACCTTGGGATAAGATTCGGAGGGAAGTCCTTCTCTGGTGTTAACTTTTCGTTCACTCATTACCAGCTCTGCTCCTTCCTCCCATTAGGAAGAAGCAGTAGTTTTTCTATATTAAAGTATCTCCCGTACTCATTATTTGAAACGGTTTTAACATCTTACCAATTTAGGTTATTAATTTGGCCTGAAAAACAACCAAAATTATGAAGAATGCTGTAATTAAACAGTGCATCACTTTGGTTTGCTGTTGTCCAAATTCTACAATTACTGTGGTATCAAAGATGGACTTTGGTGGAAAAAAGATTAGGTATTACCTGTCAGCATGTTGCACGCAAATGCCTGGGGCATCTTAAATGGTATAGTTCACACATTAGTGGTCTTCCTTTACCTGACGGTAATAACAATCTCAAAAATACAAACCCTTACCACCTGGAATGTTTTCTGAGAATTACGATACCAAAGCACTTTGAGATTAAAAGATTTTTAAACAGCTATCAATGTTTCTGCATTGTCCAATTTCTTTATCAATCATCTTTTCCTCACTTTTTAAATGGAAGCTGTGTCTCTCTTCATCTTCGTTACCTCAATCCATTTCTCCTTACATTGTAACAACAAAACCTCATCATCAAATCAGAAATACACTACCTGTAAGAGCTACCATGTTAGATAAAGATATAAAACAGAGATCATGACATTTTTGATCATAACAAAGTACTAGATCCAAGAATTTATGGCCCCGGGGTTTCAGGCTCCTACTTCCACAGAGATCAATTCATGCTGAATGCATTGGGTTGCAGCAGTCCACTGACCCAAAGAATCTCCAACAAATCTAAGTTTAGGCTTCTATTTTTCCTTTTTTCCTCCTTTTCCAGTTGAAGAGCTTTCTACACAATGCATCTGCTGAGTGCTGCGTCACAGACTGAAATGCAGCCCTTCACTCGAGAAATTCCCAATGGGTTGGAAATAGTTCCTTTGCGATAGAGGCTTTCCTCCCTGAGAAGAGGCTTAAGCACCTGGGAGGGTTCAAGGAAGGCTGTTATCAGTGCACCAGTTTCTACATAGGTTTAATCACGTAGGGGACACAAAGGGGACAAAAAAATACTCCTGTATGCCCTGGAAAAAGAGCAGTGATGTAATCATGTTGTCACCATGCCTTGTCACCTTGAGAGAGGAAGGAAAGAAGATTTCTCCCATGGTCCAAGTCTGTGGTCTAAAGCCCATTGGGCTTGTATGGATATATCTGGAGCAGTGGGAGGGAAATTTTAATACATATATTTTAAGCGGTATTTACTAAAATTGTTTGCTACTTTCCATAATACTTGATGATGCTGGAAAAAAGAGATTTCCAAGTACGTGAAGTGTGAAGGAAAGCCTTAGGAAAGGAGGAAGAAAGGTTTGACTTTTAATTAATATATAATATTGTGCCATATCCCTTTAACAAATACTGAGGTGACATGCATGAATACAGTAACAGATAAATGCAAGTCTTAATATTGGTCCCTAAACAGAAATTGCTGAAATGGTGATGAAAGTCAAAGCATCAGACTAAGTAACGGAAACTCACTAGCACCTGTCTTGCTAAACAGTGTTGTTCTGAAAGTAGGATTACGTTTCTGTAATCCTGGAAGAGATTTGTAATCTCTTAATATATCTCAAAAATTGTATGGAAATAATTTCAGCTTTTGTGCTGGATTTTTGCATTTTATGAAAATATTTTGTAATGTTTAGTTAGAAGAATTTCAGCCTGTTCAGCTGACCTATAAAAATACTGTAGTAAAGAAGACATCTCACTAGAGCATCTCCCATCAATTTATGAGATGGTAGCCAAACCACATCAGATCCTGATTCACAGGTAGCTGCTGCAGCTTCTGCAAGAACCTCCAAATTGCAATACCTTTAATGACAGCAGCACTACCTTTACATTCAGCTAGGGAGCAATATAAGCTGAAAGCATTCTCTTCGCATAGGAGCTATTATAGACACATAGTATCTTAGCAAAACTCTGCATTCTTAATAATCCCAATTCTGAAGAAACTCTTTAAATTAACAAGAATTCAAAACCTCTACATGGTAGATTCATTTAAAAAGCTTGATATACCAAACAGATTTTGGAGGAAAACGTGACTGGGGAAAGCAGGAAAAGAACACAGCAAATGTAATTAAATGATATCAAGTAGTACATTTATTTCAGATAGTAAGTCAGCTTCTGACAGTGAGATGTATTAGAATATAGTCTCTGAAGATAAAGGATGGAAGGAAGGCCTGTTGCTCAAGATACTGAATGTTTGTACAGTGCCTAGCACAATGAGGTCCTGGTCCTTAGCTGGGGCTCCTAGGTGCTCCAGCAAAACAAACGCGTTAGGCTTTAGGAGAATGGACTGCATAAACAGCTTTGAAATGGCGTTCCACGACATGGGCTAAATGACACCTAAGCAGCAGACTTCACCTTTTAAGCTCTGCAAGAGAGAAACTTGGTCCAGTAGGTCTTCTCCAACTCCAGTTTTATGATTCATTCTCCATCTACCCACCCGCTCTGTGCACAGTTAAAGCAATGTTCACTCATCCCACTGTAGTGTGGTGAACCTCTAGGAGGAATGATCGATCCCGCTTCAGTCACCACATATAAGAGGGCGGAAAAAAGAGCAGCTGGTCTCACCCTCCTCTACTCCAATAATAGACTCAGTGTCTGGCAGGTGCAGAGACTCTACACCAAGGCTGGGCTGAGAGTTCATGGAGATGAGATTCTTACTATGCACCGTAGATTCTTCCAGCAAACTGCTGCCCATCAGTGACTCTATTGTGAAAAAAAGGGGTAAACCAAAATTCTCATGAGGTAATGATACTGCAATATACGATACAATCCCTGCCCGCCTCCAAGTCACACAGTCTTCTTCCCTAGACACCTACTTTATCCGTTCCTAGTCTCTGGGAACCCAGTGCTCCAATGGATGGTAACTCCTGTATTTATTGTTTTGAGCCTTAGTATGGCGGGATCTCATGCAGGCTTGGCTTTCTCTTTAAATAATCCACACTGCATAAAAACCCAGGCTTCTTAAAACAAGAATACATAATGAAGGGCACAGCTTACATGTGAAAAAAAGATACCAGATTGATGTCAGTTTTGCAAACAATAAACCTATCTGCCCCTTGACCACAATACAGAAATACACCTTTGTCTTCTATCCCAGAAAAGGGCAGGGTGAGCAATCCATCCTCATCTCCAAGAGGAACAGTCTTTTATTCCTTACTGGCTTGTGGTCTTGTATTTTCAGGACAAACATCTTCCCTTCTCTTTGACCATCCACTAATTCGTTCCTGCACTTCTCCCCCATGGAAAGTGTCCTCCCTTCCTTACCTGGCTGCTCTCGCTCCCTGCTGCCAGCTGTTCCAATTCGGGAGTGGTGTTTCCTCATATGCACATTTCTGCTACCACTCTGGGAAAATGTCTTCCCACAAATTTGGCACTGATGGGGTTTCACTCCTTGGAGTAGAAGGGGGAAAAAATATTCCAAGAATTACCAAATTGGGAATAGACCTCATCAACCAATAAACCAGTAATACTGTTTTGAAATGGCTGTTGACACCACTGGTGCTAATGAATAGTGAAAAAGCAAATGAGAAATATTCCTGTTTTCTGGAAAGCAATAAGCTTCCAGAACAGAAGAGTTTTAGGTATCAGTATTGCCAGCTGTTGGAAATCTCAAGTCTGAAGAGTAACATAAAGTATAAAGTCTTCAAGTCTGATTTATGAGAGGGAACAAGTTATCTGGAATCTCTTACTCAGTGACATGGAAATATTTGGTGTCCCATACCTAGAATGAAATGACCAAAAGCAAGGAAGCAGAGGCAAGGAATCTCCTGCCATCTCCTGCCGTCACACAGCAAACTGCAGCATCTGGTTTACATTACTGAGTAGAGACTGGATGGTGACTTGTCACTGTGAAAGGATTCCATTTTACAGAGCAGTATATCATTTTCACAATACAAGAAGTATGATGTCCATACGTGTGAGCTCAATAGCATGGAAGCCAAGGAGACAGGAAAGAAAAAGCATGGAGAACTTGGGTAATCCCAAAAGTCACCACCCCAATCTCCCCTTCCTCAAACAAACCATATTCATTACACGCTGATGATATTTAAGATAGATCAATCAAAACAGAAGGCAGAAGCTTTGAAACACTTGTGAAATATATTTCCATCTAATGCTTTGTCCAATTACAAGTATGTAGTATTAAATAAAGGAAAACCCTACCTATGGCAGAAACCCACTCATGAGAGATTTCAGATTTGAATGGGTTTGATTAATACATAGAAGCGCTAGATTATCTCTTTTAAGTAAGAAAATGGCAGCTATGAAACATATCCAACTTCATGACATTTTAGAAACAATTTAAAAAATAAATTTAAAAAATGTAATTTGAATTTAGAAACATAAGATTTAGAAACAAACAACAGGAAAGATTAAAAGTGTACAGGCTACAGGCACCACAAAGGAAGTCGTGAAACACTATGACCAGGAGTCC